GTGAACTTGTTTAAGAAAGGAGACAAGTCTGACCCAGGAAACTGCAGGGGGATCACACTGAACACAGTAGGAAAAGTGTGCTGTAAGCTGCTGAACGATAGGATAATGGGAGTACTGGAGAAGGAACATAGCATTAGTGAGGGCCAGGCAGGTTTCCGCAAGAAGAGGGGGTGCGTAGACCACGTGTTCACGGTAGGGAGAATCATCCAAGGTAGAAAGAGGGCGGGAAAGCCGACGTACTGCTTCTTCCTGGACGTGAAAAAGGCATACGACACCGTATGGAGAAATGGGTTGTGGAAACAACTGTCCAAATACGGGATCAAGNATTCACGGTAGGGAGAATCGTCCAAGGTAGGTAGAGGGCGGGAAAGCCGACGTACTGCTTCTTGCTGGACGTGAAAAAGGCATACGACACCGTATGGAGAAATGGGTTGTGGAAACAACTGTCCAAATACGGGATCAAGGGGAAAATGTGGAGAGTGCTGAAGAAGNAAGGTAGAAAGAGGGCGGGAAAGCCGACGTACTGCTTCTTCCTGGACGTGAAAAAGGCATACGACACCGTATGGAGAAATGGGTTGTGGAAACAACTGTCCAAATACGGGATCGAGGGGAAAGTGTTGAGAGTGCTGAAGACGATGACAAGATTGTACGAAAAGCGCGGTCATGCTAGACGGAGAACGGTCTAAATTCTTCGACATTGAGCAGGGGGTCCCACAAGGTTGCACGCTGTCCCCAACATTGTTCCAGGTGTTCATCAACGATCTGTTGGAAGTCGTAGAGGCAGTCCGGAAGGGAGTAAAAGTAGGGGACACGGAAACGTCGGTTTCAGGAATGCTGTTTGCGGATGATTTTGTCGGTATGTCGGACACCCCTGAGGGACTGCAACTGCAAATTGACGCGGCGAAGAAGTTTACTGATAAGTGGAGATTGTCTGCCAACGTTCAGAAGAGTGCCGTCATGGTATGCAACGAGAACAAGGAGGAACCAGTAGAACATAGATGGAAGTGGGGGATCGAGGAGATTGCAGTAGTGGACCAGTACACATACCTCGGAGTAGAGATCGCAAAAGACTGCTCGTGGAATGCACACATGTCCAAGGTAGCGGAAAAGGGCAAAGCACGAGCAGGGAAGCTGCACCCAATACTCGCAAACCGGCACCTCGATACACGCATCAAATTGACGGTTTTGAAGAGCGTAATTGTACCGCCGCTAGAGCACGCCGGAGAAGTATGGGAAGGAAATTAGAAGGTAGTGAAAGAACTCGAGGCGGCGCAGATGAAAGCAGCGAAAATCATCCTAGGATGCTCCAGGCGCACAAGTAATGCAGCCGTGAGGGCAGAATTGGGGATCCAATCCCTACGGTCGGGAAGAGACGCGAGGAAGCTGACCTGGCAGTATCGCATGTGCGGGATGGGAGAGGAGAGGTTGCCGAGAATTGTATGGGAGGCGAAGTGGGCAAACAAAAAGAGGGGTAGACAACCCACGGAATGGGTCAAGGTTGTAGAGGACGTATGGAAGGGGCTCGACATCGACGAAGATGAAACGCTTGAAACGGAGGGTCTACAGGGGTTTGAGGAGAAGATGTCTGTTGCTTGTGCCGAGAGAGAAGAACAGAATCTAAGGAAAGAATCCAAGGATAAGGAGGGTCTAGAAGTGTACGGAATGTTGAAGGAAGGAATAGGGTTCAAGGACTACCTACATGGACCAATGGATGCAGGAACAAAGCTTAAGGTCAAATTCAGGACCGGGGACATAGGCCTTCGAGAACGTCGACGAAGACATAGGACGGTAGACGAGGAAGACGACGAGTTCAAATGTGATTGCGGCTTCGAATGCGAAGACCGTGTTCATGTAGTCGCGGAATGTCCGTTGTACAAGAAGGAGAGGGAAGTGTACGTGACTGAGCAGGGAAAAGTAGATAGGACGTACAGGGAGATGTTTGAGGCATGGAATAGAGAGGAAAGAACGGTAGCTGTACTGGGGCATAGGAGGTGGGTCGAAAAGGCGAGAAGGTATATCGTTAGGATCGACAAGACTAGGGAAGACATTTTTGAGCCACCTTTGGCAAAGTAGAAAGGAA